TATAATTTAAAAATACTGGCTACCACTCCCAGCTTCAAAATGATTTCTGAAGTATGTTTATTAAAATGATACTTGCTTAATAACCTATCTGTAAATTGAGGGGGGCACAAAGCAGCTTTCTCTCACCTTTACCATCAAATCCCTCTCTTTATCCATTCATTTCAATACTGCCCTAAGGGCTTGGGTTACACCCTATATATAGCTGAATATCTACCCCAGAAAATGGCAGAGGTGAACCCAATTACTGTTTATAAGGTAAAGGATGAATAAATGAAGCCACTCTTCCCAGAGGGTGTTAGGAAAGGGGAAAACTGGGTATCCTGTGTTAGGCTAAGAAGACAGTGACAAGAACACTGGGCTGATGAGATAACTCAGTAAAGTGCTTTCCATACAAGCACGAGGACTTGAACTCAGATTCCCAGCACCTCTGTAACAAACTGGGAGCAGTGGGAAACCTATAATCCCAGCACTGGGGAGTCAGTCAAAAGGATGTCCAGGGTTTGCTGGCCAGCCAGTCTAACTGAATTCTTAAGCTTCAAGTAAGTGAGAGACCCAAGTCTCAAAGAATACAGTAGAGAGGCAATTGAAGAAGACACTCAGCGGACTTATGGCTCCACAAATGCACACACATACCTACAAACACACAAGAAACTAATACATACATACACACAAAAAAAGAAAGTGAAACAAAACACTTCTAGAGCTTCATAAGGAAGAGAAATTGTTGTGTGGAATCAAGTAAGCCTTTATACAGTTTTAAACATCACTAGAAAAAGACAAAAACCACTTGAGACAGTTCAAGTTCAGACTCAAAAGTTTGAGAGCTCATTTTAGACTTACAAAACCAAGTTGCAAAGTCTCAAGAAAGAATCCTGGCGTAGAATATTTCAAAAGTTTTCAGGTCATGGCTAAAACAATATTCTAAGTGAAAAAACCCTGTAGGTTTTTCCTATTGTAGAAAGGCAGCAAAGACAGGCATATGCCTGTAAGCGCAGCACTCAAGAAGCTGAGACAGGAAGGCTGGCACAAGTTCACAGCCAGTCTGGGCTACATAGCCAGACCTGTTTCATGTAATACTAAAAATTAAAAATAACAAAACACAGGGAGGGGAGGAAGGTAGCTAGGGTGGCCAAAGCTAAAATGAATACCCCAAATTCTTCTGGATTTGCAAATTGGAATGTGATTACTCTTCACTCAAACTATTCTTCAACCAAACCCCAATGTAGCAGCTGGCAGTAAATAGCAGGACTAAATCATATTGTTCATCCAACAAATATTTGAGTGTCTGTGCTAGCTGTGGTTAGTCACTCTTCTAGGCACTGAGCTAAAGCAATGAACTTGAACAGAAAAACTTCCAGCCCTCAAGAAGCTTTCATTCTAGTGGCAAGAGATAGATTGGAGGCAGGGAGTATAAACAGAAGGGAATGTCAGGGTCTAAATACTATAAGGAAGAAAAGGAGGGAGAGAGGGAGGGAAGGAGGGAAAAATGGAGGACATCGTGCTGGTTTTACCAAAAACAGATCTCTGTAGTGATTTCCCCACCTTACTAAGCATCAGGGTCACGTGGAGGGCCTAATAAAGCAGATATTTCTGGGCTCTGACCCTGATTTTTTTATTTTGTAGGTTTGGGATGAGACTCACTAATATACTGACAAATTCTCAGATTATGCTGACACTGCTGGTCCAGGGACCATACCCTTGACAACTAATTGTTCCATCCAAAAGATGAGGTAACCTAGCTCATGAGCCTTACAGGACTTGTTTCTTTTATTCATTCACATAGTGATTCATTCAAACACTTATTCAAAGTACCAGTAATATTTCTAGACACTAAATCTAAATATATCCTGACCTCAAATAATTCACAGACAGAGACAGGCCTAGTAGACAGGCCTCTAAACCCACCTACTCAGAAATTAGAAGCAGGATTCCAAGTTCAAGGACTGCCTAAGCTATACATGAAGTTCAAAGGCCAGCCTGAGCAACTTAGGTAGGTCCTGTCTTTGTCCTGTCTCAAAATAAAATGTAGAGCCAAGGAGATGGGTCAACAGGTTAAAAAAAAAAGTCACTGCTTTAATGAGTATGACCTTAAGTTTCGCCCCTGAAACCCACTGTGAAAAGAGAGACGGAATCAACTCCTTAAAGCTGTCCTCTGACCTCCACAAAATAACAATAAATAAAATTTCAAAATATATAGGGCTGGGGCGATAGAGATGGCTCAGCAGTTAAGAGCACTGGCTATTCTTCCAGAGGTCCTGAGTTCAATTCCCAGCAACCACATGGTGGCTGACAACCATCTGTAATGAGATCTGGCTCTCTCTTCTGGCCTGCAGGCACACATGCAGACAGAACACTATGTACATAATAAATAAATAAATCTTTAAGAAAATATTTTTAAAAACATATATATATATATATATATATATATATATGGCTGACAAGACAGTCCATCAAGAAAGGGTACATGCCTCCAAGCCTGATAAATTGAATTTGATCCCCAGGAAGAAGAGAACCAATTCCCAAAAGTTGCCCTCTGATCTTCATACAAGTCATACCTTTGCATGCATGCACTCATAACACAATAAATAAATAAACAGATTTTTTAAAAAAAGATTCACTCAAAGGGTGGTGGTGGCCCACGCCTTTAATCCCAGCACTTGGGAGGCAGAAGCAGGTGGACCCTTGGTGAGTTTGAGGCCAGCCTGGTCTACAGATCAAGTTCCAGGACAGTCAGAGCTACACACAGAGAAACCCTGTCAGATTCCCAAGCAGCTGAACCTAGTGGTCTCCCAGTTAGGAAACTAAGAAAGAAGAATCACAAGTTCATTGCTTGAGCAACAGAATGAGTCTAAGGCCAGTCCCGTCTCAAAATTGTAAAATGTTCAGTGTGAGAGGGGTTGGGTAGGTAGCTGAGCAGTAGAACACTTGATCCCTAGTGCCACAGAAAGAGAGGGGGGTAAGGGGGGAGGAAAGAAGGACAGCAAAGAGAAAGAAGAAGCTAAAGGGAAAAGGTGCAGACTCCAACTGCAACTGATTACCGAGAGGACTACAGAAGAGCAGCTTACTCCAAAAGAGGAAAAGGAGAGAAGAGGGACTATTTCTCAGCGATTCAACAAAGAACTCTTCTACAGGCAAGTAAGGGGGAGAAAGCGGCACTCCAGGCAAAGCAGCGCACAGAAAAGGAATTAGAAAAAGGGGCTGGAGACACCATACAAGGTTTAAGGCTGCAAAAGCAGGTAATGGTCTGGACTCCAGGAGTTTCTTACTTCATCCTAAAAAGTCTGACCCTTCAACTGTGAAAAGGGAGGGGTGGGGAATAGGAAGCACTGATATGACCAGTTTTGTTTTACAAAGACCCCTCAAGGTGCACAGCTTCCTGCAAACCTAGGACAAGGCCTCAAAACAGGTACTCAGAAAATATATATTGAACTGGATGATGAGTTTTGTATCAAGTGCACGCATAGATAAGGGGCCAGTCACTTTCCCTAAGGACTTGCTTTGGCCAGGACAAGACTTGTAAGACAGGTCCAGCAACCTCAATTACTGCACAACTGGAGTCCCCCAGAGGGCTTTCATTGTTTACATGTCTACCTCATCCACTAAACTTTGAGCTCTTGGTCTGGCGAGCAAAGACTGCCTGTATTGATGCACTTGAAATCCACAGACCCTAGCAGGCAACTTGAAACATTGTAGCACTCCAGATTCTAGTAGTAATGTTGGATAAACAGATGAATAAATGAGCAAATTGATCAGGTCAAGCCATGAGTTCATGTAATAGGTAAGAGTATGAATAAGCTTCAGGGAATATTGCAGGGTCTGAGTTGCCAAAACTTTTTGAGAAGTAGCTTCTAGTTGAGGTGGGCTGTGTTCGAGTGTACCTGATTTAGGATTTCCAAATAGAATGTGTTACAAGTACAGACAGAAGAAATCTCTGTGGACCTCTAGGAGCCCCAACGGGAAGAAGTCTGTTCTACCGGGAAGGAGGCAGAATGGATGGATGCCAGCAAAGGCTTCACAGTGGGGAGTACTCTTCAGTGGAATCTTGAAAGCTGAGTAGATGACTGCTAGCTAGCTTCTTATTTCTGAAAACTAATAGCAAACTCTAGGAACTTTAAGGCTGGAAGTGACCTGTTCAAGGTCACACAGGAGGAGCTGATGCCTAACGAGGGATCTCTGTACTGCTGTTTTCCTCCTGACAGGGTTGAGCGACCCTTAAACATAGGGACAAAAGTTCTTCGCAAGAACAATTCTTAAAAGTAGTAATTTGATTATTAACCTTTTCTAGAAATATTGTAAAGCGTAAGATAATTATCCAAGGGGTTTAACATAAGGAACCTAGGTTACAAGATTTTTTTTTTAAAGTCACCCAATAATTGTCGAGTATTCTTCCAAAACACTCACAGTGTTGTTTACCGTTAAAAGATCCCAAGATAGTGATGGTTGGAATAATTCTGCTTTTCGAAATGGAATAATAATGGGCGTGAAAAAAAAAACTATGATTCTCATTCTCCTTTCCAAGTCTGTGCGGAACTTCCCAAGTTACGGGGTACTCCTGGGGTGGGGGAGGGGCGGCACAAGTCATTTACTACCAGCCTTTATTTTTCAAGACGATGAACCCGAAAAGTGATTCCCAAACCGGGACCGATCACGGAGACTAAGACGGCACTGCTTTACTAAACGTCTGCGTCGCGGGCCAGTTTCAGCGTCCCAGGACCCCGAAGTTCCGGAGGGAGTCAGTCCGGCACCGGGACCTGTGGGCCCTCCCCCGCCAGCGCCCGCCCTCGGGGTCCCCCAGTGTCCCGACTGCGGGAACCCGCGGTCGCACTGGAGCTGGCACAGGGGGCCTTTGTTGGCCCGGAGGGAGCGGCCGGTCGGCCTCGCGGGGCGGAGCCCGCCTCTGCTCACCTGGCGCCCCTGCCCCCGCGGCTCCCCCAGCCCCGCGCCCTCGGCCGGCCGGACGCCGCGATGCGGGGAGCACCGGGCGGGGGGCCGGCTCTCACCTTCTGCGCTCGCTCCGCTCCTGCTCCTCCTCCTCCTCCTCCTCCTGGCGGCGGCCGAGCCCGGAGAGAGCGCGGGAGTGTGCGCGGGCGGCCGCCCCGCGTTCTCCTCACACCGCTCCCGCCGGGTTCCCTCAGGCCCGGGGTCCGGAGGGCGGGCCGCTGCGGGCCGCGGGGAGCAGGAGGCGCGCCGCGACTGCGAGGGGGCGGGGTGCGCTCGCTGAGGGGAGCGTTCTCGGAGGAGACTGTGGCGAGCGCGGGCTCTGAGGGGGGCAGACGCGACTGCGAAGGGCCGGTGATCGCGGAGGGGACCCCGTGCAGCCTGAGGGTGAAGTGGGACGGGAGGGTGTGGGCGAGCGGTGAGGGGCGCCCACCGTGCGGCCGTACCTTCGGCCCCAGCCGCAGCCTTGCTATTGTATGCAGCCGGGCTGGCTGCCGCCGCGCCCTGCAGCCCCGCCCAGGCCCCGCCTCCTTCGGCTCGGCCCCGCCCCCTCCGTCGGGCCTCCGCCCCCCGCAGGTGGGAGGGGGCGGGAGCAGACCCACGTGAACCGGGCCAACAAGGCCGGGGGGAGAGGCCCAGCGCTGGGATGACGTCATCAGCGCTTGACGCCAAAGGCCGAGGATCACCTGGCTGCCATGTGACGTCATTGGGGCCGGGTTTCGGCTAGGAGCCCGGACAGTCTTCCACTTTGAACCGGCGTTTTTCCTTGAAATTTGGGGTGCTGTATAAAATGGTTAGGGTGTAGTCAGAGTGGAACGCGGTTAGCCCCTTGTTTACAAAGCACCACCGCATCTCCGAGCTCTCCAAGAGCTGAATGTGTGAAAACTGTCGGATCTCGGGTTAGCTCCGAGCCAGACATCTACTTTTCTGTCTGTCTTGAGGTTGGAAGTCTGAGCAGGGTAAGGGTGGGAGAAGAAACAGCCGAGATGTTTGAGCTATATTGAATTCACGTGGGGAAAAAATAGGCTCTTTTTCCCGCTTTTTTCCCATCACCGAGGCTACTTTTGACGCAAACCTTTCTCCTGAGCTCGAATTCTGTATTTCTCAATACTTGTAAAACAGCATTCTTTACTGGCATGTCCTGCTGTACCTCAGAATCAGTACGTCCAAAACCAAGACCGTATTACTCTTGAGCCGAAACTCAGAGCCTTATTTCACACCCCAGATGTTCAAGTTAAGACTTCAAATTCCTAACCCATAATTTCTTCATAATAAGTAATACCTGGCTATCCTAACTTGGCCTCCCTAAGCTTCAGCTTTACAATAATAATAATAGCAGTAAAAGTAATAATAATAATAATAATAGCTGCAGTTTAGCATGCATTGTCCTTGAAAATAATGGGTACTTCTGGTATCCTTTTCCGTTCCTGTTCTCAGCAAATGAACCACCATCCAGTAGTCCTCTAAGCCAGATCCTCATTCTCAACATTCATTTCAAATTGTGCTTCCGGCTTGTAAACTGCAAAAAGTTGTCAAACCCTTGCCCTTCTCTCTATTCACCACCATCACCTAGGCAACAGAAGCAACCTTTAGTCTCTCAAAATCTAACTCATTATGCTCTCTGGTTTCCAGAGCAGCTTTATAAAGCTTCAAAACTAGTGCTCTCCTTCCCGTTTAAACAGTCTGAGAGACTTTATTGCTTCTAGGATAAAGTCCAAACTTGAACACAGCACATACAGACTGGCTGCTTATACTCTTTCTGGTTTCATCTTATACTCTACCTTTGCTCCGGCCACATCAGAACACTACCTAACATTTTTTCAACTTTCTTCTTCCTGTCAAGGAGTCCTTCCTTATCTGACTGAATGACACCTATTCATTCTACAAAATGAAACTCCAATATCACATCAATTTAGGAACTTGACTAATATTTCTAAGGTTCCCTGAACTTAACAATATCAAAAGCCTTCCACATCTATCTATTTTCTTCTTCTTCCCTGCCCCCCTCCAACTTTCTGGATTCTTGCCTGGCTGGCCTAGAATTTGTGACTGTCAACCTGCCTCAACCTCCCAAGTGCACCACCTCGTCTAGCCCTTTTATCCCAAGCAGGACAGGGTCTAGTAACTGTAACTGTACACCTGACTCCATCAGTTCCACAAGTCATATCCTCTCTGTATCTCTCACACTTGGAGCAGTGCTTGTTACCTAGCATCAACTGACCTGTTAAAAATATATTTAGTGGCCTGAGGTGGCATAGACCTTAAATCCTAGCATTCAAAGGGCAGGGGCAGGCAAATCTCTGAGATCCAGAGACCATATATCAAAAAAATGTATTTAATAAATGCTTACTGTATGCTACTTCTGAGCACTTCATTAACACTATCTCCCTAAACAAACCTCTAACAACCCTTTGAGGTTTCATACTGTTCCCCTTGCCCTTTGATGGAGAAACTGAGGCATATGCACAGAGCATAATTTATCCTAGGATCACAACCCAGGAAATTTATCCTAATCTACACTATCTTTACACTGTCGCAAGCGGAGCTCTTCCAGACTGTCAACACTCTGTCCACTGGGAACAGTAAGTCGTGCCCTCCATGACAAAGTGCTTTGCAGATGTGAGTAAACAAGGATTTTGAGATAGGAACTGCTCTGCTTCCGAAAGCAGATTTCAAAATATACAAGAAAACAAGTCTCCCTTTGGATCCTCCAGAAAGGAACTCAGCCCTCCCTGCACCTCGGTTTCAACCCACACACATCCATCTTGCCCTTCTGAACCACATCGCTGTGAAGTAGCGAGTGCGTATTGTCTTAGGCCACTACACATGGACTAGTTTGTTCCCCAGTCAAAAGAAATTAATCTCCCATCAAGAGTAGGGCTCCTCTATGTTAGGAAAGTGGAAGGGGTGGTTGCTAGAGGTAGACACACACCCTAATCTGTCCACCCCAATTGTTAGATATCACTTGCTATGTGGTCCCTAAAACCCTGCTGAAGCAAATAGTCAAGACATCTCTAGCACCCTATTGCACTGTGTTTCTTTGTTTGTTTTTGAGACAGGGTCTTGGTATATAGCTCAGAGCCCCAATGTCAAGATCCTCCTGCCTCAGCACACTGAGTTCTGGGACTACAGGCATGGCACTTCACACACAGCTCTTCCTTCAGGACATAACTTTTAACATAGTCTGCTCTCCCAGCAGCCAAAAAAGAAGGGGTTTGTTGTTTTTCAGTCTTCCATGGAAATTTTCTGGATTTCACATTATGTCCTGAGTTGATAGGTGAGTGAATGACCTGAACCTGAAATTTCTTCAAGACTCTCAAGATTGCTAACAAAACATAACCAACTAGGTGATCTGTGACACTGCCCCTCTATCACTCAAGGACTAGAGCACTATTTCTCAGCAGGGCTGAGATTTCTCTGTGGAAATCTAGTACATACATAGGCAGAAGATTTTTAGATACTGTAATGGTGTGTGGCCTGTGGAGCTCAGTACTGTGTGATTAAAAACTCTATTATTTAATATTTAATTTATCTGAGTAGGAAAGCGTTTGTGCTGGCTAGTTTTATGTCAATTTGACATAACTGGAATCATCTGAGAGGAGGGAAAAGACAGTTGAGAAAATGCCTCCAGAAGATCTGGCTGTAAGTAGGGCATTTTCTTAATTAGTGATCCATTATGGGGCGATGGGGGCTGGGGTGGGGGGACAAGTCCACGGTGGGTTGGGCTACCCCTGGGCAGGTGGTCCTGAGTTCTAAATCAAGGCAGGCTGAGCAAGCCATGGGGCTCAAGTCAGTAAGCAGCACCCCTCCATGGCCTCTGTATCAGCTCCTGCCTCCAGGTTCCCGCCCTGACTTCCTTCAGTGATGGACTATGATGTGGAAGTGTAAGCCACCCTTTCCTCCTCAACTTGCTTTTGGTCCTTGTATTTCATCACAGTAGTAGGAACCCTAACTAGGACAGCTTTAATTCTTCTTTCTTCTTAAAAGGACAAATGAATAGAAGATTGAGAATCCCCGTGTTAGGCTAGGACTATGACGGGACTTCTTTTTCCTTTTTATAACATTTACTTATTTATTTGTGGGGGAGGGTCACATATGCCATAGTGAGTGTGTGGAAGCCAGAGGACAACTTTCCGGAGTCAGTTCTCTCCTTCTACCATGTGGCTTCCATACAACAATTTAGGTCATCAGGCTTGGTGGCAAGCAGGTTTCCCCACCATACCTTCTTGTCAATACCTATGATATGATTCAGTTCTTCCTTCCACTTGTACTTCCAGTCTGGCATCAGGCAAAGAGCCTTAGCCCTTATGATAACACACTGTACCAGGGACTTTATCACTACTCAGCTATCAACAATGAGACCCTTATTGCCATCTGATCAGTGACTATTAAGTTCCAGAATTGCAGGCTGGAGAGATGGCTCAGCGGTTAAGAGCATTGATTGGCTGCTCTTCCAGAGGTCCTGAGTTCAATTCCCAGCAACCACATGATGGCTCACAACCATCTATAATGAGATCTGGTACCCTCTTCTGGCATGCAGGCATATGTGTAGACAGAACACTGTATACACAATAAATAAATTAAAAAAAAAAAGTTCCAGAATTGCATCCTAAGAGTAGAGTCATTTTGGCTATCAATTATCTAAGCTTGGGTTTCCAAAATACCAGAGCCTGTGATAAATACTTGGAAACAACACTATTCACTTAGGAGGTGATCCCAGAAAACGGGAGTGGTGTGGGAAAGAGGGAAAGCCAATGGGGAGTGTGTGGGAACCTTGGAGAAGCATGCAGAGGGCTTCCTGGAAGAGACCACTTTAAAGAGGAACCTTATCTACTGCAGGAATTCCTCATCACCTGAGGGCTGGCCCCAGGCTGTTGATGCCCCTAGACTTAACAGCTTTGTTTGCAGGTCCATCCTACAATCTGCTATCAGAGAAGTCCCTGCAGGAGAGTGAGGCAGGTGTGTGGTGGACATTAGGTCAACGTCATAGTGAAGAGAGAGTGGGAACTGGCCAAGGCTGCAGCTGAAATCAGACATGGGCTCGGGGACTGCCATACAGGAAGTGTCTGCCAAAAACTGCTTAGGTTTCATTAATAGGTTCATCTTATAAACCAAGTTTTGTAGATAATGCCAAACTCATTTACACTCCTATCTGGAAGGTATGTGAATTTTAATTACTCCACAACCTCAACAACTTGGGATTAGCAATCTTTACCATTTTATTTATTACAGGCAGTACATAGTGTGATTGTGTGTTCTTGCTTTATTTTTTTTTTTTTTTTGATTGCTAAGGTAGCTGAACACCTGTGCATAAGTTTATGGCTGTTTGGTCATGCTTTTTTTGTTTGTTTTGTTTTTTGTTGTTTTGTTTTTTGAGACAGGGTTTCTCTGTGTAGTTTTGGTGCCTGTCCTGGATCTTTCTCTATAGACCAGGCTAGCCTCAAACTCACAGAGATTCGCCTGGCTCTGCCTCCCGAGTGCTG